TTTTGCACTGTATTCGATTTCGATGAGAAGGAGATAAGGTTGCCTGATGTTGACGATGGATAAAGTCTGTTGTATGAAAAGCAGCCGATCAAGTGTTGCGAAATAATTAATGAATTTCTTATCTGAACAAATGACTTTTCTCCATGATTTTTGAGAAACCACCCAAATGTCGTGAATATAGTTCACAATCAAGTCTGTAATATACGACAGCCTAATCATCCCAGGGAGTAGTTTAGTTTCAACGCTTTCAATATTAGAAACTTCATTTGAATGAATGCAGTTTTTCCATCGAAATGAACACCAATTCATATATGGTGATTAAAGAAGTAACTATGACATTTAGTCATTTAAGATATTATTATTATTCCCTTAGGTTCCGTGTGGAACATAAAGTAAGTGATTATTATTTACTCTGCAGTTGATTACGGCGTTGAAATGAATGCTTTGGTTTGGCCTTAGTTAAAGAAATACAGGATACCGTAAAAGTCATCTACAGTATACATGTCATTGGTGGTGATTTCATCATTTAAGCGCTCTGTATATCTGAGTGTACTTTGAGTCTATCCGAGATTCGTCTCTTCATAAAAACTTGTAAACAATAGAAACTACACTGAGAATTCTTATTTCTGCACGAAAGTGCTACCAAATTATTGTCTATACAAAGATGTTGCTGTTTTCAAGCAAAACATTTGCTCGCTTATGGTTGGAACTGAAGAGGTCGCATTGAGTTTACTTGAAGAGATATGTACACATTCAGTTGCCAGCCTGCTTCGATATCACATAGACACATTCCGATCAATAACTGTAAGTTAGCTATTCTGACGTGGTAATCAGGTTTGAGTGAAGCAAACAGCTATACCGAAGAGATATAAACGGTTCGCCTTGGCGTATTACAGAGGTGGACTTCTTTGGCAGTTTGCCAAGGTGGCGTTTCTTCCAATCACTAGGTACTCTTTTTCCCTTCTAAGTCTTTTGCAATAGTGGTAAGAGTGTTATAACCGATACTGAATTAAATGAGAACCGTAGTCACCGTGTTCTGTCTACGGCTGCTTAATATGCCTATCTGACTGTGGTGGCTTCCGATTCACTGAGCCACGCAAATGTCAAAAGACAAAGGCTGGCCTGTGACTGTATATTGTAATCACAACAACAACGACGACAACCACTAGGAAAACAACACATCGTATTTATACATCTTCTGTACAACAATAAAGTCGGCCTCAGAGCCGCGAGAAATGATTCACCGCACAGTTAATCACAACATTCACGAAGAATGATTGATCGCATAATTTATCACAACATGCATGAGAGATGATGATATACTACTTTATGTGGGATCCTATCAGAGACCATATCCGCTGCGATGTCTTCACCCGTTTTTGATGTTTCGAAAGGAATTCAGTATGGTCCTGCTGTCTTCACAGAATTCAGTAGATTGGTTCACTTTAGGGCTCCTCCTTTTGTTTGAGGATTGGTATTTATCCTTGAGTTGCAGCTGACGATCGAATCAAAGGTCCTTTGAGGTGATCAGTCCACTGTTTGTTTGTCTCTCCTCTTTGGTATTTATGTTCCCTGTACCAGTTTTAATGGTTTCATCAGTGGCGACCTGTTTCTGAATAGAGACCTGGTTATGTGATATACTGTTCTGAGGTCTCTTTTACCTGCGTTCTGTTGTGCTTGAGTTTCCATGCGTATGAGCGTAATCTTGTGCGTTTCCTGGAGTTCTGCCTCACTCATGCATTCAGGTCACCATTCCGCATATTGTACATTGCAACGTTATCCACAACATGATAATACATTTTGCTTTGATCGAGAGAAGAGAGTTTGAATGACTGGATTCTCAAAGCTTTTCAACAGCATGCATCAATGCATCTCTGAGAGTTTGGCAAAGAACAAGTTAGCTATTATATTGCTCTTGTGCTCTGAAGCTTGTTTTGCAATAATATACGGTTGATGCAGTAAAGTCCCTACCGCCAGATCTAACCTCCGTCAAATTCTGGATGGAAGACTGGATAAAATACGAGCACACCGTTAAGCTAGACGGTGATGTGTAGACGAATTCGCAGGTGTAAATACTTATAAACAGCCGCACTAAATAGAAAATTAATAATTAAACGATGAATTCATTTGAGAAAGTGAAATTGCTGACGAAGAAAATACCCTAATTGCAAGGTTGACAATAACAGGGCAAAAACTGTGGTCAGTAATCATTTTCGATCCTCAGTTTACCTTTCTACTGTAAACCAGTAAGTAGCTGGCTTAATTTCCCAACAGAGAAATGCGTATATTATTTAATCTTATATGGCTTATTTGGATATATATCACTTCGTCTTACCACACTATCATTCAGTTGTTTTATAAAAGTAAATGATGCTTCAAAACACGTTCTGTCTACTCACATGTACTTGCAGATCAATTAATTATACCGAGTTCATTTCTCGTCTCAATTGAATGACAAGTGTTCGCACATAAATAATTATATTTCTTGTTCACTCCTGTCTCTCCTGACAAACGAGTTACACTATTCTCAGCAAGTCACACCCTCCACACTGCATATTTCAAGCACATAGGTCACAGCTTGACAGAAAGAAATAGATTCTGATCACAGTTCATTTATTATCACTACTCTGTAAGAAAGCGAAAGGAATAATGCTCAACGGGATCAGATAATAAAAGAAACCTACTGTGACATATCCACCGATTCAAATGATTGAAGAACTCTGTGAATTATGAAGTGCTGAACACACTAAAATTTATCGGTGAATATATTGAACTTTTCGGAATATAATCATTCACACTGTGATTGTTATAGTTTTCATGCTACGTCTTATTTCACAAGACACATCAAACGACATTACATGTTCAACACTCAGGTTTGTCGAAATATGAGAGCAGGAAAGCAAATTATACTTGGATGACGACTATATTCAAGACTCTCGAATAACCTTTGAATTCCGTTGTCGTAGGTTTCGCTTTGCAGTGGTGAATAGTATAGTCACTCAAAAAGATGGTGTTTTACTGAAGAAAGATTACGTGTACACTTGAGATTGATTACTGCATTCGGTCAACTGAAGCTGACGCGTCGTTGAGTGTATGAGTTCAATCACACGCAAAACTCAAACCGTGGAGATGCACACCTACACCTATCATCTTGCATGTTCGATTCTCTTTCTGTGCGGCTGCTTGGATTCCATTATAATTATATGTTTGAATCTTATGGAAATCATTGGAAGCTTGCATCCCCCAACAAAGAATACTCACCAATCTATTTAGCTAGCCTAAACACAAAACTCGAAATATGGTGAGATAGTTCTACGCCCGAATAGTAGGATCTGCTAGCATACATGTGACCTGAATACTCCGATGATATAACGAAGTATATCATGTTTGCTGTTCATCCCTGTTTAGGGCCCGTAAAATATCACTGAGTGGTAGCAAATTGTTCACCATAACGTACTGCATGTTTCAACTGCTTCACGTGGTTATCAGAAAGCAATTCCGGATATTCATAATAACTGTGTGGATATTTACCTTGCATAAACTCACTAATTGAGCACCTAGACAGCCAGTCAAATTCAAAATGAAGGATAAAGCAACCAATCTAGAGACCATTTTCATAAAACGATTTACGTTTTTGGGGTAAAAATATATTTGACTCAAATTCATACGTGCGTGAATGAAGTTACTTTCAGAAAACATGAACTACGTCACGTGCATTCTCACTACTCCCTGCAACAGCAATGTCTTTTCGAATATAGCACAAACTACATCTGTATGACTTCATCTAAACATAGGTATGCTGCGTAAAACGTTCTCGTATACTCCTGAAAAGTCTCTGGAACGAAATTTCACTTGACAAGTCATCATTAAATTGTGACTAATAACTAGAGGCTTTTTACGTGCAGTCAGAGTCTCAGGTTTTCTCTCAAATGTTTTCATATGTTTTTTTATGAAACTACTCGGATAGCCATCTCCATCAGGGAATCGTGAATGTATTCAAATTCCTTTTGCAATAGGTCATCCGTAAATACCTTTCTTGCTCTTCTCGTAAGACCTTTAACAACATTTCTTTTATATTTAATGGGCACGTAACTAAGGAAGTGTGTGTATTGCCCTGTGAATTTACTTTTTATACACACGCTTCTCCAAGTGACCCATCTTCTCTTCTACTTAGCAAGACATCCAGAAAATGTAGTTTATTCACCTGCTCCCCATTTTATTTGCATTCAAGAAGTAATCAGATTTCATCGGATGTAATTGAAATTTCATCCCAAGATATCATATCAGAATTTCGTTCTTGTTAAGTAGGTTATAAAGCAAGAGTGTATACGAATAATTTAGTTCAAGACATCAAATATGCACGTCCTGCGAATATCTAATCAAATGGTTTTCTTATGTTCATCTCAAAGGTCTGACTCCACCATTGGTTTAGGCTCCTTTTCAACACACATGAATGATAGTGTATGAGAATATGTATTATTACTGAAATGGAGAAAAGTATAGCTCACATGTAGAATAGTAGTTATGAGATGGAACGTTGAATCTGCACATCAATTAAGAGACGCATGTCTGCTGTGTTTTCAGCTAATTTTTGATATTCTGTGACCTGAGATACAACATTAATGCCTTCTTCATGTGATAAGGCATTGACATTGTTTCAATGGACACGTGCATGTGGTTTTGAAGGGCGAAGATTAGGTCGAACAATACAAGCCTCCTAATTATATGTCTACATATCCAACTTCATCGTCGTCCGCACGAAAGCAATTAAAGATGTGAAACCGAGCAACTTGAGTTAGAAGTCACTGAAAATAATTTTCAACTCGAATGTTCCTCATACAGATTAGTAAAACAGAACTTCTCAGTTAAACAAATTAAACATATTTAGACACATCCTGAATGAAGTATGTTAATTGCTATGAAAAATCAGTCACACACACATATACATATATATTGCATCCAAACTGCAACCATGATGTAAAGAATACAGAATCACCACTATACATGAATTAAGTTAACACATGTCATGATTTTCACACATCACGAAATAACACATCGACAACAGACAAAATTAGATGATCACCAATCAGAAATTCCGTCGTTCTGAGCATGTCAATATAACACTGTGAAGATATAAAGAGAAAGACACTGTCAACATTTCCGCTTCTCCTTTGAGTATTCATTGCAATGAATCTGATCATACTCCTCACCTGTCTGTATCATGTGAATTCTGAGGTGATCAAGATTCCTTTGCATCCAGTGTGTTTGTCTGGAATCAATTCAATTCTACGTCCGTATTCGAAGTTCTTGAGGGGAGTACAACGAAGCTGGATGAAATTATGGAGTGCAGGTGAAAAACCAAAATCAGAACAACTGCATAACTATCATAATGTAAGTTTATCTTCGGTTATAAATTTATCGAGAAACGAGCACGAAGCCTTACACAGATATCATTTCGGAGATTTCATCCATGACAGTTCTACATCACGTTTTGTACATACGTCCACACGGCTACAACTATCATTAAAAATTCAGCCAAAGAGTATAAAGGAGACAATAATTTTAAATTTTATAAGGAAGTTAGAAGGTGTGAATACAGATCACAAAAGGCTTAGAAACAAAATAACACAGGACTGGAAAACAACTCAGTAATATTCCAAATGGATTTAGCGAGTTCAGGTTTGAACGGGATGGTTGAAGAAAGAAACTGAAATAATATTCTTATTAATTGAAGAAAGCTATTGGGTTCTATGCGTCATAAGTAATTAAATAGAACCATCTCCCTTGGATAGCAAAATAAAATTATTCTATGACAGACTTCTACTGTGCCACAGTGTTTAAATTATGCACTTTTATCGCACTTCACTAAGCTACTATCACCAATTAATTGTTCCAGATTGTAATTCTAGTTAAATAGAAATTTAGGTGGTTTTAAATGAATAACCTTTCAGAGAAGGGCATACCTACCAAATGAATTTGTCGAAGCCTTATAAAATTGTGTGATATTATATTTGATGTACACCAGTTCATCACGACGTCAGAAACATTCAGGTTTTCAGAATTGTATGTTTGACTATGTCTTTTTAAGACTGAGTACTATGGAGAATTACAAGTAGGAACGCCACCACAAACATTTCGTGTACTCTTCGACACTGGGTCAACCGACAGCTGGCTCCCCTCAAGAAAATGTTGGTTTCTTGACATTCCGTGTTGGTTCATTCGATTTTATGACAGTTCAAAATCATCCACCTACAAGCGAAATGGTACGAAGTTTGATATAAGCTACCTGATTGGCAGTTACTCTGGATTTTGGAGTATGGATACAATGCAGGTATTGTGCTTTTATAACTTGAAGCGACAACGGTTTTAGATAAACTCCTTAGTTATCCGCAATCAGGCGTTTGCTGAAGCGATAAATGTATTTTCTGACGATTTCTTTAGTAGTAAGTATGATGGAGTCATTGGTATGTCGAATGAAAATGTGTCGAGCTATGGGAACACTCCATTCTTTCCAAATATACTTTCTCAATTCAAGGATATAGATCCAGTATTTTCGTTCTATCTGAGCGGTGGGTTCTTGTTTACGACGTAACAATAATACTATTGCTGTATATGGCTGATATTCCAGTGGTTTACTATTACGTTTTCCAATGATTTCCCACTCAATATTTGCTTATTTGGAATACTGATTCACTGTAAATTAAATAAGTTTAAGTGGCTTTACATCTGGGCTCAACATAAATCTCCCCATGAAATTCAAGTGGAATACATCAGAAAGGAAATGGTTTCAGACAATCGTAAAATTTGAGTATTAACAAACAGTTTCTGCCTACAAATTTTGGACTGAATTTAAAGAAATGATAATTTTAAGTTTACAAATATCTCTGTGTGATCGAAGGTACACATCAACTAAAGTACTTAGCTAGTAATTCACTTACATTGTCCGTTAGATGGTTATGACAGACAATGTCTTCAGCTGAACTTTCATTTACAGCTTCACTACCATTGGAATATGAAGTGGTAGAGACAAGAATTATAATTCCGTGGTTTCATGCAAATTTATAAATAACGTTTATTCTGATTGCTATTCACCTTTTTGCAGAAACACGAAGTTGAACCCGTTGCTAGCCATTTTAGTAATTCCTCAAATTCGTGTCTGATATTTTGTAGGAAAAACGGTGTTGTTGGTGGAGAGATGGTGATTGGTGGTGTCAATCCTGAATATTTCATTGGCGATTTCGAAAATGTGCCTGTCGTCTCTGAAAACAGTTGGTCTGTTACAATCAAAAGGTAGTCAGTCGATGCTTACATGATTTCACGGACAAAGATATTATTTAAAGCAATTAGTTCCCTTTATGAATTTTGACAACACAATAAGAAGACGTAGTTTATCTTAAACGTCTTATGTATTTGTGCAACACATCTCCGACATTCTGATCACACAAGTACTTGTCATACACACTTTTTATAGAAGGCAAGAAGGTATGGATAATTACAATACAGGTCAGATTTTGTACAGGTCAAGGTCACAAATAGTGGATAGGGAGACGCAAAGGTGTGGATAAGAAAGATAAAAGGAGAAGAAACAAAGGAAAGAAGGTATAAGAATAAAACTTGTGCACTGTGGTAGAGTGTAATTCCATTATGGGTAAATTTTGTTTTGATAAAGTCTCACAGTGTTATACAGTAATGTTTACTGATGACGTTTCGAGCACAATTTATTGCTCATAACCATATCCTATATCATAATCATATCATAGGATATGATTATGAGCAATAAATTGTGCTCGAAACGTCATCAGTAAACATTACTGTATAACACTGTGAGACTTTATCAAAACAAAATTTACCCATATTGGAAAGGAAAGAAGGGGCTGAAAATATTATGAAGTAAATTGGTGTTTGCTTCTAAATTGGATTACCAAGGCAAATTTAAGGTAATAACAAATAACTTTCGGACACATAAGACAGGTTTAAGTCTTTTTATGGCTAAGGCTTCAACGAATTCAAGTACCTGACACAACCAGCTATAAAAAGAACCAAACACCAATTTACTTCATAATATTTCCAGCCCCTTCTCTCCTCTGTTTTTTCTCCTTGTATCTTTCTTATCCACACCTTTGCGTCTCCCTATCCACTATTTGTGACCTTGACCTGTACAAAATCTGACCTGTATTGTAATTATCCATACCTTCTTGCCTTCTATAAAAAGTGTGTATGACAAGTACTTGTGTGATCAGAATGTCGGAGATGTGTTGCACAAATACATAACACGTTTCAGATAAACTACGTCTTCTTTTTTTGTTGTCGTAAGATATCATTTTTTCACGTGAACATTAAGGTCACAGAAAATGTGGAGTGGTTGACATAGTTATAACTTCTCACCAAATTATGTTTAGTACACGCAACAATTCCCACTTTTTCTAGTACTAAATGTCATACATTCAAGCAAACATCTATTGGATGAGATATGACTTGATTATTCCGCATGAAAAATTAGGGGACAATTATTCTCCATCCCTAATTTCTCATAGTTGGTTTGAACCTAAAATGCTCTCTTCCTGTAAAAATAAACCAGTCATTCGACCACCATCACCTCAAAAGATGAAAACAGATTCCCCTTGTTTCAAACAACACCACATTTGCTGACTATCTATTTTAACGTGCGATCAACACACAGATACTGGCGTGACTTCTTAGTGGCCAACTTTCAGTGAGTTGTTGGGGAAAGCGTCATTTATTTGATTTTAATCTGTTGACAACCTGAGTGGTTTACCCGGAAACAAACGGCAGTTGAAAGACTGATGGTGCGAAGACAAGCTGTCTCACGCCATTTCAGTTGAAAACCGTTTTAAAATGCAATTGTTCACCTTGATAAATATGAATAAGGCGAGAACAACAGTGGTTTGTGCAGAATAACATGGTACCATCATTTATTTCGTTGGCTTCTCGTCAGCCGCTTACAGCCCAAATAAATTTTGGGGTTTAAGTACAGAAACGTTTTAACATACTTGCAAATTTTACATGTTGTCAGTTGACAGAAAGTTCCACACTTAGTAAACAGTGCTCAGAAAATTGCGCTTATATAGTCTTTACACAGGCAGTTCAAGTTAAAACAAAATGAATGTATGCATATAATGGTAAGGGAGTTACATAATAAAGATGAGATGTGAGTTAGATGCATAGTGACTAATAAGTTAGGTAACAATGTACTGAGTTGAACTCAAATCATAGAAACAAGAGACAAGCAAAATTACAGATTATAAAAGGAGGGTGAGGTTAAAGACAAAGATTACGTAATCAGATGAGAGAAAAAAGACACTCAGTTACCAAGGCAAGGAAAGACTAATAACTGCTTCTTTCTGAACACATAAATCTGGTTTCAAGCGTTTGATAGAAATTGCTTCGGCAAACTTGAGGAGAATAGAGCTCCTTTGTCTATTGATAATTTTGAAGGATTTCTCGATTTCCACCTCATGACCCGTGTCGAGGAGATGTCTGGTAACAGCGCTACTATAACAGTTTGTTCCCTTGGGACGTAGGGTTTTCGGTACATGTTCAGAAAATCGGAGGTGTACCATTCTTTCTGTTCTCCCAATGTAACTGCTCCCGCAGATACACGTAAATTTGTAAACACAGTTGGAGTTAACATGAGAAGGATATCTATCGACTTTAGACTGCACCTAACAGCATGTTGTTCGATGGTCGGAAACCAACTTAGCTGCAGGATAGCCTCTGGCTAGTGACGTTCTCAGTCTTCTGTTGACCATTTCTGCAATGTCTTCACCTTTAAAATTAGTTGAATGAAGGCAGGCTTTTTTCAACTGTATTATGTTTGGTATTTGAGCCTTCACATCTTCCATATTTGTGAATGAATCTTTGAGGATAGCCGATGTGTTTCAACACCTTTTCGAGATTCGTAAATTCTTCCTCTAGTTTCTCTGCAGAACATATTCTCCTCGCTCTATAGTACAGAGGCTTGACTAGAACTCGTTTAAAGCTATTTGGACAAAAACTATTGAAATGTAAGTATTGTCCATCCCATGTGGGCTTTTGGTAGATTGACCTCTGGAGACTACCATCTTCTAGGCGTTGCATGGCGACATCAAGGAAATGGAACTTTCCATCATTTTCATGTTCCATAGTAAATACAATATTTGTATGTGCGTTGTTGAATAGTCTGAGTAGGTAGGAGACATGACTTTCATTGTTGCATACTACAAATGTGTCATCGACATATCGTCAATAGGAAGTTGTTTGATCAATTGCATGCTTCAGCTTTGTTTTCTCAAGGTTTGACATAAAGATATCTGCTGAAACAAGGCTAAGTGGACTGCCCATAGCTACACCATCTATTTGTCAGTAAAGAGTGTTGTCAAACTGGAATTGTACACCCATGGTACCCATTAGCAGTAGGCGTTTGAATTCCGGCTCTGGTAGTGGGAGAAGATCAGACTGTTGACAAATGATCTCAATGGTTTCATTGATTGGGATCATTGTGAACAAGGAGGTTGCATCAAATGAAGCCATGAACTTATTTGAAACGTTCATGTGATCCACGCTTTCGGCAAAATAAATGAGTCTTTTATGGTATGCGGGCTAGCCTTTGGTGAATGGGTTCCAACTTCTCCGCAAGCCAACGGGCAACCATATGTTGGGGAGAGTTGATCATCGAAAGTATAGGTCTCAGAGGGACTTCTTTCTTCTGTGTCTTTGGAAGGCCATACATATACGTCTCAAGGGAACAAACTGTTATAGTAGCGCTGTTACCAGACATCTCCTCGACACGGGTCATGAGGTGGAAATCGAGAAATCCTTCAAAATTATCAATACACAAAGGAGCTCTATTCTCCTCAAGTTTGCCGAAGCAATTTCTATCAAACGCTTGAAACCAGATTTATGTGTTCAGAAAGAAGCAGTTATTAGTCTTTCCTTGCCTTGGTAACTGAGTGTCTTTTTTCTCTCATCTGATTACGTAATCTTTGTCTTTAACCTCACCCTCCTTTTATAATCTGTAATTTTGCTTGTCTCTTGTTTCTATGATTTGAGTTCAACTCAGTACATTGTTACCTAACTTATTAGTCACTATGCATCTAACTCACATCTCATCTTTATTATGTAACTCCCTTACCATTATATGCATACATTCATTTTGTTTTAACTTGAACTGCCTGTGTAAAGACTATATAAGCGCAATTTTCTGAGCACTGTTTACTAAGTGTGGAACTTTCTGTCAACTGACAACATGTAAAATTTGCAAGTATGTTAAAACGTTTCTGTACTTAAACCCCAAAATTTATTTGGGCTGTAAGCGGCTGACGAGAAGCCAACGAAATAAATGATGGTACCATGTTATTCTGCACAAACCACTGTTGTTCTCGCTTTATTCAATCCTTTTTATGGTGTGCATAGTTTCAGCATGGCTTGTATATATTTACGAGTATTCCAGTAAAGAAATTCATTAGAATGATTTAATGAAGGCTGTTATTGGCTGAAGGTGCAAGAAATTCTGATGACAGCTGAAGGTTTATCAACAGACAGGGATTTCCTTGTTTGTGTGGAGATGACTGAGGAGAACTAATTATTCCTGTTGCGTCTGATTATTAGGATGAATAGTTTTGTGATTGGAATAATTTACATCAATACACTCTTCAGTGCATTGACTGGTTAATGTTTCAGTTATGTTTGTTTACCATGTTCAGCATGAAGATAAATGGAGTAGATTATTGCAAAGAAACGTGCATTGGTCATGTAGACACTGGAACATCTTTGATACTGGGATCGAATAAATGGGTGGAGACGATTAATTCTAGACTTGGGGCGAAGCTGAGTGGGGATGGAGAGTATGCATTTAACTGCAAAGATATTAACCTGCTCCCTCCTATTGAGTTCGTCTTCAAGAAGAGGAGCTATGTACTTGAGGCGAAGGATTATGTGCTTAAGGTAAGTATGAGAATTCGGTTGAACATTGTGATTTTCTTGTGATCGGCACTTGATGGGAATTTCCTCATCAATGCCACCGATTCGCATTTAAGAAATGGCAGCACATTTTGTAATACAGGTGAATTTCATCCTTTTTAAATGGTCTACGTTAGGAAAGAGATCACTTTTCGTAACCTCACACAAAAAACTTGGAGGATCTGGACTTCGCCGATGATATATGTCCGATTTCCCACAAACCGGAAGATATGCAAGTGAAAAGCAACAAGTTGGCAGAAGAAGCATCAAAGATAGGACTTCAAGTGAACATAGATAAATTTTTTTTGATTTACAGCTTGATTCCACACTGTATTTTTGGTACAAGTATGGAATTTTCAGCGTGGATATCGGTAGCCCAAATTTTGCAGGCCGACCATAGATATCAGATGTGCGTCGGTGCGGGCTCGAACCTCGGACCATGTGCATGATCGGCGAGAGTCCTAACCACTGTGCCACCGACGCACGAGGTGATGAAGAGGTGATGAAGATTCCTGGCCAACACCAACAGCAGCAACAACAACAGACAGCAATCAGCCTAAATAGGAGGAACCTGAAAGAAACAACCTCCTTCACCTACCTACCTACCTACCTACCTGGGAAGCATCGTTTCAACCAGAGGCCAGCGGAACTGACGAGGGTATCTAAGCCAGAATCAGAAAAGCAAGACAGGCTTTCATTACCCTCAAGTCTTTGTGGAAGTCAACAGCACTCAGCATCAAAAATAAGGTCCGGATTTTCAAATCCAATGGAAAATCAGTGCTTCCATACGGATCAGAGGCTTGCACTGCGCGTCATAAAGAGCATCTCAAACAAACTTCAGACCTTCATTAACAGTTGTCTTCGCTCAATACACAAGATCAGATGGCCAGAAAAGATCAGCAACAAAGATCTCTGGGAGCGAACTAACCAGGAACTGATTGTGAAACAAATAGGTAGGAAGAAATGGAGATGGATTGGTCACACCCTGAGGAAACCATCAAGCGACATCACTAGACAAGCCCTCGAGTAGAATCCGAAAGGGAGGCGGCGAGTTGGTCGTCCAAGGATGACTTGGAGGAGGTCATGCGAGGAGGAGAATAAAGCATGTGGGCAGACTTGGAGCGGAGTGAAAGAGTTGGCAGAAAAAAGAAGGAAATGGAGGTGCGCAGCCGAAGCCTTATGTTCCTCTAGGAACTAAAGGATATAATAATAATATAATAACCTCACTTCGAGTCTGAACAGTTATTTTTGGGTTTATATATACATTGCTAGCTGATAACAAAGTTGAGACCCATCGACACAACAATGTGCGAAACTTGTTGAATGATCGGGAGGGTTGATTGCCAAATACATATGTAATGATGAGTAGTCACTTGGAAATGACATATAAGAGTCAGAGATCGGTTCATTGAATGTGAGTTACAAAAAATATTTGAAAATGTGCAATTACTGCATAAAGTTCTTGAGAAAACAATTTTTCACCAAAGAAGCTTTAGTAAAGGAGGCTAGAGAAATACATGTTTCAATACAAAGTCCCGGTTTTTCCTAATGGATTCCAGAAGCCGTGGTTACATAAAATTTAAGCGAAATCCAGTCAGACTGCCTGGTCCTATTTCACATATGACTTTGAAGTAACTCTTTTCTGATGCTACTTGCCAAGAAGTAGCATCGTGCTCCAGAATCAAGTTGTTATCTGCCCTGTACTAACATGCTGATAAGTGTTCATTGGCGTGTTTACACAATGTCCTGTTGGTAGAGTCCACGTATTTGACTCCATGGGAGACATTAAGCTGATGAATTGACACTGAAGTCACCAAAGCCCAAAACGTTTCTTTGCCAATTTGGTGAGAAAGTGCAGGTGAGGTGAAATAATTGGCAAAGAAAGTTCCTGGAAATGCTGTTGACAGAAGGCTTCAGAGAATATCACAGAATTTATCTCCCTGTCTCTTCTTCAGTTTTGCGGAATACTGTTCCTTAGTTTCATTTCTTGCTCTCCTACATCGACAAGCGTCATCCAGCTCCACGGTTGTTATTCATTCAACACAGAAATAATCATCATTTATATCCAAAATGCTGGCTTCAGCTTCTGAAGAATGCATACTGCTTGTATTGTAAACAGACAGATTTGACTGGGGAAGTAGGTGAATTTCACATTTCCTATGGTTGTTCTCATTTTTATTTACGAGACTTCGAATCTACGAGATTTATAAAATTCGTTTCATTTTCGCTTTCAGGAAGTCAACTGGTTATACACAGAGTGCACATTACCATTCGCTAGTAACGACGGAGTTCCCCTGGAGTTTGGATTCTTGGTGATGTATTTATGAGGAAGTTCTACACTGTATTCGATTTTGGTGAGAATGAGATATGGTTAGCTGATGTTAACGATGGCTGAATCTCACTATACCGAAACACGTTGATAACTGATCATAAATAAAGACAAAACAATAATAAGACGTGATTTATCTTAGTCGCGTAATGCATTTGCGCAACACATTTCGAACAATCTGATCCATCACATACAGACTTGTCATAGGAATATATATGAAACTAATAAAGAATTAATAGGTGACGTCAAGTTAAAAGGACATATTCAGGGTCGAAATAACAATGAAGATCACTAAATCAGAGAAAAGAGGTTACAGTACATCTGCTATGATATCAAAACAAAGCTAACCAAAGAAAAATTAGTATGATGACGAATTGTTTTTGAAAACGCATAAATTATTTTCGCAGAATAATTTACGAACTTCTTATTTTAAGCGAATGATTTACCTCCCAGTCCTTCTAGTAACTGCAGAAATATCGAAAATATAGTTCCGGGTTTAAAATTGCTTATGTAAGATTAGATTGACTATGTCGAAATGTATTTCACTGAACATTAAGGTGGATTCATCATTGATCTGTGCACAAATGAATCTAGAATGGTGAAAAAATTAATTTCGGAACGCAATTGTTCAGAACCAGTGCATAATAACGTATCAATTTAGCATCACTTGATTCTGGACTTGAAAATGATATCCATTAAAAACCTGATAAATCCATTCCCATTCATTACTTATCCCATAATACTAGCAGGAATGGCTAATTTATCAAATCAGAAGGTATCTGAGTTTGATGATTCAGCTGCGAAACCTTCAGTACCTTTCTGACAACATGTACAGAGTTAAGTCCGAATGAGGTGAGTTTATGAAATTCTTCAGGAATGAAGTATTTGTCTCTCCTGGTGACTACTGCAACTGGCTGCTGTCGTAGATGTCCCTATGACTGTACTCGCCTGCATGGACACTGGTCTTCTTGTCATCCCTATTTTCGACCCTTCTCCCCTGTCACCCTAATGATTCTCTGGAATACTTAATATCTCCCCTCTCTAATATATTTGCATCACCCGAGTCTATTTTGTGTCGGTAGTCGTCTGCGTTAATTGAAATGAACGAGTGTATGTCGCAACTTTTGATTACTAGTTTGCATTCATGCATGTGAAGATGAGTAGGATGGCCTCTCTCGCCAATATAGTTCATGCAGTCTATTTCACAGTTGAAGGTTGTTTGATAATTCAGTACTGTCACATTTCAATTTACATGGTATGGAGTGAAACTGCTCCATTTTGAAGTAGAACACATATTCCACATACAAAGTCATTGTCTTTTTCAGCAAGTGATTTTAAGTGAAACAAGATTAGGTTTGAAAGGAGTTAGCGTTATTCAGAAGGAAAACCTAATTGATCTAAAAATCAATAATTGTTATTACTTGATGTGCATGTTGAATGGTTTTACGTGTTAGAATGTTAGGAATCAGTCTTTGGGACTTCTAGTCACATGCCTCAAATCCCCCACAATAGTTCAGATGTAGTCCTCTTATCTTCTTCCAATCATTCAATCAGTACTTCAGCGAAGTGTGTTAACCCAAAAAGATTTGAATTTTATTCAGTTAATCAGTAGTGGATTTCATTCTGATACACTGAACTTCTGAATCCCCTATGAAACCACCTTCGTCAAGAAAATCTGGACCTAGCAGTGTTAACATGATTCACCCCTTATCTGTCTCCTACATTTGTATTCAGTCATATAACGAAAGAAAACATTTACTTTTATAGGCAATGAAACATTTTTAGGTAGCAGATGAGACATTTCTTCTGTGTCAACTAACCCAGGCCCACTCATTATTGTGACTAGAATTTTTTAGATGTCCATTTGTCTATTCCAGGAGAGATTTGGACTTGTAGAAACATAGCTTCGAAACCATTCTGTTTAATTTCTCCAGTTTACTACTACGGAAGAGCTTCATATATCTCTAAAACGCCTGACTCAACTTTGGTGCATACTTCAACCGAAGAGTATTTTGAAGTGGTTGGGACTCTCGCCGACCATGTACATGGTCCGGGGTTCGAGCCCACGCCGACGCACACCTGATATCTATGGTCGGCCAGCAAAATTCGGGCTACCGATATCCACGCAGAAAATTCCATACTTGTACCAAAAATACAGTGTGGAATCAAGCTGTAATCAAAAATTAAATTAAATTAAAAATTAAAAAATTAATGTTTCGTCCATGAAAACTTGAGCTTGAAGGGGAATGCAAAACTAATCATCCCATTGCAGTTGCTCAGTGTATTTGCCTCTAACGGTTTTAACCGAGATATATTTCCGTCTGACAAATTCAGACACTGAATAGTAAAGGTGGTGCATAGAATGTGAAAGAATTACACGATTCGAATGAGAATATCTCTAGTATTCGACATGTTCATTCCACAACCAACTTAAGTCAAAAATCGGTTGACTAATACATTTAAACCACTGCATCGTGAAGTTACCATTTTTTGCAAGTACCACTCTAATTCGTTTGGTTGAGGCCTGTCTAATGAATTGAATCTTTAGGCTAGTCTACCATTATATGAAGAAGAGAACTCGTATGATTTCACTGTCACCATGAAGTTTGTTTTCTAGTATTTCACCTTCTGTTAACCCCAGTAGTATCAGAACAATTCCAATATCACCACTAATACTAAGCAAAATTCTTTGCACTATTTCCGGCCACAAGGAAATCGTTATACGGTAACCAATCTGTATTTTTGTCCTTTCAATATATTTGCTCTGACAAATGTCATGCAAAGTGGAATATGGCTTTCGAGGTATTATGACAGAGATGTGGAGTCTGTAACAATACTACATTGCATTTTGTTTTTTTAGATGTTAAAAATAGAAACACTGTACACAGCTTTTGTAGAAAACGATTCATATTGAAATATACATAACTGCCAAGTACAATCAAAATGAAGAATAAAATGCAGTTTGCTGCCTTCAGCTTCATCTTCTCGCTAGTCTATACTGTCTACATGTTTCACTAGAAATCGTGTTGCATACTTTGGATTTCGCAGGAACTCTTTATCATCACCTGAGGACTACTCTACAACCAGTGCACAACACTTCCAACAGACACGTCTTCAGCAGTGAACACTATTGTAGATTATATTAATAATTTGTAGCAGTGAGCTTTAACTGTATTGTGGTGAGAGCAGGCTGCTAGCCGATTGGTTGACACTAATCTACGTTAATATGGGCCGTGAGAAGATATGAACAAGGCTGATTTAACAACCAATCACAGCAAAGTTAACGTGGCAAAATATGATTCGCAGATATAGAACTCTATTTGTCAAGGAATCCCGAAACAACCAATCAGAAGCCTGCGTTTGTCTGCCTAACTTCTGATAAACAACCAATCAGATGACTGCGCTTGTCTATAATAATGTATGTGAAATATGTATAAATACGTGTTGATTTTCATAATAAAACGATCTGTTGCCTGGCCCTTGTCTTCTGTTGTTACATTTGGTGTCGCTGCCTACCGGCAAATGGAAAGCCTATGCCCTGCTGTTTTTGATGGAGACATATGGATCTTCGGCAGGACTTCAAGGCTTCTGCGCAGTTGAGTGGCGTTCAAGATCTGTCAGCGATGGAGCTGCTACTTGGGACGCTGCTGGGAGGTCGGGCGAAAGCAGCATATGAAAGTGTGAGCCGAAATACCGATGAATGTTCGACAGGGTCAGGCAAACGGTTTCCAAAGTGGGAAGGACCGTACACAATTACAAAAAGACGGGGTCAAGTATATACCATCCGAAGAGGTGATAAACAGAAACGAGTTAACGCCAGTCAGCTCCAAAGATGGGTACAGTGGGACAAGCCTATCAGTAACAATCCTCAACTAGGGGATGTAGCACCCAGAAGGTCGGAACGTCTGCGCACAAAGCTATTTGACGTGGGGACGAGTGTGGTGAGAGCAGGCTGCTAGCCAATTGGTTGACACTAATCTACGTTAATATGGGCCGTGAGAAAATATGAACAAGGCTGATTTAACAACCAATCACAGCAAAGTTAACGTGGCAAAATATGATTCGCAGATAGAGAACTCTATTTGTCGAGGAATCCCGAAACAACCAATCAGAAGCCTGCGTTTGTCTGCCTAACTTCTGATAAACAACCAATCAGATGACTGCGCTTGTCTATAATAATGTATGTGAAATATGTATAAATACGTGTTGATTTTCATAATAAAACGATCTGTTGCCTGGCCCTTGTCTTCTGTTGTTACAGTATAACTGAGTAACTGAATAATTTAGATAAATAATTGTGAATAAGGCATTGAGAATACAAATTTCGTGAGATGATATCATTTCGTAGTTTCTTTAAAACCACTTTACAACTAACATGATTAGCAATAATAAATTAAAGATCCTGACAGTTACTCAGTTAAATAAAAAACAAAAGTACATACTAATGACCAATCATATTTAGATAGGTCATATAGTCCATGGTAGGCGAAGATTGAAGTCTATTGATTTTTGTACACACAGTTTAGGCTGTATGTGACTAATCCAAAGTGGTTCACCTTCAGTGACTTGAATTAGAGTTATGTAAAATAACTGTAAATCAGTCATTAATATTAGTCTTGTGACCTGACATTAATAAGTGTTTTGCAATGCATGATGCTGGATTTCTGTTCAGACTAATCGCATTGGAATTTTCTTTATGATTTAGTTGCCACTTTGGAACATGTTCTTTTTGACGACATTGGAACTTTCTGTTGGTTCTACCTGTATAGGTGTCACTGCAGATGCAGGTGAACTCGTAGATACAGTTTGAAGTAGAGCCCACAGAATTTCGTCCTTTAATCGTAGGTACAGGTATCGAAAATGTCCTCAAGTGGGGAAATGAGATGCGGCGAAGAATGTGCGTTTGATGGCTGACCGAAGTCTTTGAGCTGTCCTTGAACTGCATAATCTGGTCGCCCTTGAATGGTAGGTTAGTTAAGACAGCTTTCTTTGGTACAGAAGCTGTCTTTTCGAGATGTGGTCTTTCTTTACTGTGACAAGTGATATAGTTTTCGGATAACCATTAGCGAATAGAACTGAATGTTTATGTCGAAACTCATCCATCAATGCATCACTCGTGCATGTTTCTGAATTTTTTTATAACATACTGCTATACCATCATCTAATTAACTTGGATTTTCATTCAAATACCTGTTCTCTTACTGAGCTCGCTAGAAAGTCCCTTACAGAGAATGCTGTCAATATTAGAACGTATCCTCTCGTACCTTGTAAATGCCGTCTCTTAGTATGCTTTCACGCATTTCACCTATTGTAACACACCAGAATTCACGTTCTGTCGAAGCGATATGAAGTTCATCTCAAATCCACTCACTTGTGACTGGTAGATTGATTAAAGTCCACATGTTAGGACACGGTTTCATCAAGTACAGTGTTTATTTAGTAACAACTTACTACTCAGCTTACTTGATTTGTGAATACTTTTTCACAGTTTCACAACTCCAATCATCTGTAAAGTGCTTCTAAATGCGAGTGAGTAGTTTACAAAAATTTGAAACATATAGGTCGGCAAAGAGAACTGTTTCTGTAAATTATCAATAAAGCTGTAATGTTGGATTAAACTTGCTATGAGGTCACGGAAAATGCTCCTGTGAAGCTAAGTTCATAGGATTTAATAGTAAGACACTACCTATATATTCCTTTGTTGTTCTTGCCGATTCCTCAGCAACAGACATATGAGCAGGTAGCAGGAATCTTCTACTAGAGGCGTATTGCTTTTATTTTGATTTATGTAATGTGACTTCCAGAGTATTTTCATAATCTCATTTGTAGCAGATTTATGAGTGACCTCTTTCATTTCTTTTTCCTGGACTCCTAATCTTTCCTCACTTACAGTTGAGAATATTTTATTTCTGTTTGTAATTGATGCAGGATTTCCACTGACGTTTTCCTTAACCTCTCAGAAACACCAAGAAGTAGTTAGCTACTAAGGTGAAAAATAATGGATTATTTCATGAAGATAAGTGTCAATTACCACCCTCAGTATGCCTGTTATATTCTACTTGTATAATCGTCATTGTGTTTGCTCTATTTGACAGTATATTTCTACATTCCTGTATAGAGTGGAGTTGTAGATAGTTGTGAAAACAAATGGTTCGAAAACTCATTTGCAAATTCATCACATTTCTCAAGATGAACTTCGTCTTCCAGTAACGCTATTCTAATATATTAAGCAGAATTATTGTTTTAAGTGTGTTATCTAATAATGTAAATAAGGACGAATTTCGATACATACTATACTTCACACACCGAATTCAAAAACATTAGAGGTGGAATATAGATTCAATGAATTATTCAAACATGTATGACGAAGTTCAAAACACGTGAAATTTTGAAACGAATCATGTTTTTGTTGATGTTATAACTTGTAATTCATTTGTGGTATGATCTGCAAAGTAATAAGTACAAAGTCAAGTTAAATAAATTTACGCTTAATTAAACAAATTCTTAAAATCATAAGTGAGATGAGTAAAAGGTTACTGTTAGACAATTAAGTCAGGTTGTGATTTCGATTATTTGCTAATTTACGCGCCTGAATCAATCGCACTCTACTCTCTGCCATCACCATTGGGTGACTCCTCAACTGCACACTAGTATTCATTTTAACCTCACGAGATATCCATGTCACCTTTGTATCCCTAGCTCGCCAATTCCCATTTAAGTTCCATTAAATAGCAGTGTGACATCACTCAAGGATCTCCTCAGATTTTGGCGGATCCTGTATATTTTGTTCATAGCCAGTTAATCGAAATATTACAGTCACTTATTGCCCACCATTTCCAACCATTCATCTCTTCTTTAATACACGCATTCGTTGATGAAAGTGTGTAGCAAACTGTTCGGAATGTTTTCGGTAAAGCCAGCTTAAATCTCCGGATCATACAGAAGCACATACTGAATTGGAATTAGGGTGAAAAATCTAAAGATTCGATTTGTGTTGGATACTGCAGATCTGAACACAGTAATAAACGCCTGCTTCTCTTACCCTACTAGGTTCTCGACGGTATCGACATCTTCAACTTCGCTGCCTGCCTTTTGCTGAAACGATATCGCTTAGATCAAGTGAGTGAGACGAATTCCGTCAGATTTCCCTCAGTAGTGGTGATTAATGTTCGTTGTTCTTCGTGTATTTCTATCAATTCTGTCTGCTCTACTTTCATCTGAAGTGCTGTCTTGCCTGCTGCTTCTCACAAGTTGTTGCTGTGACACATAATTCCATATTAGATAAGGTCTTTTGATACTACTCTCAGTGACGGTGCTGTAATTTTTGTATAACCTTTCGGGAACAACATTCTGCTCATAACCACATCACTGTATTGAAACCACTTCCTAACTTGTCTTGTTTTCAATATATCTGAATTAAACATCGTCATAAATATCTCTTCGGTCGTATGTGTTTTGTTGTGATTCGATAAACAAGGATTCGGTGGTTAACCCCTATTTTTAAATCTAGCTTTGTTCATCGAATCAAAATTAAGGTGTCACTGTGTTTTAATAAAGGAAATCATTTAATATCATGTAAAATATCTCTGACTTTCTTTGCCAACTGCTTAACTTCTTCTTCTCCTCACCCAACCTAGCCTAGCTTACAAGCTTGCTACTATTCTAGCCAGTCCTAGCTCCAGAAAAAGAGGGAGAGTTGGGAATAAGGCTAGTAACCTCATACCACTAAACTCATCAAACTGCTCCAGAGAATTCAACGCGCAAGGAATATTTTCAGCATTCGAAAATTCTAATAGCAAACTTGTTCTTCGCTGGAATCGGAGACTTGGAATTATACTGAGAGCCGGTTAGAGCCTTAAGGAAGGCGGTCAGCCAGCCAATGTGCCTTCGTTTGTTGAAAGCAAGAATAGGAATGGGGACGTGTAATGTTCGCACAATGTACAAGACTGGCAAGGCTGCCCAAATGGCCAAAAAATGTAAAGATACGGCATTTAAGTGCTGCGTATCTGCGAAGGCAGATGGAATGGATGTGTATTATCCAGATTGTCAACTGAGGAGTCCCTAGTCTACACCGGTCTGGTCACCCAGACGACAACCACGAGCACACTACGACAGTGAGTGGCTATAATGATGACACCAGTAAAAGCCAAAGCCTCAATGCAGTAGGTAACATCTTTATCCAGGACCATGACAGCAAGGTTCAACTCAAATGGAAGAAAGGTCACAACTACCCAGTGCTATGCACTGTGCTACAAACAAGGCGAACAAGAGAAGGAATATTTTTACAGACAACTACAAACAGTAATGAACAACATCCTAAATATTAATATTAAAATCTCTATGGGAGTTATGAATGCCAGCTAAAATGGCAGCAGATAATAGAGGACGAGATCTAACTCGTCAGGGGTCAAAATCCTGTTGTGGTGCTCTATTTATCAAACTGGAGTACACGTATATCCTAGTACTTCTTCGCGTTTATTATTATGTCTTAACGTTGTGATTACTCGACAACCACAACGTTAATCGAAAGACACTTGAAAAGGAGTACGAATGTGTATTATCGCATTAATCAAAATTCAAATGTTGAGCGAGTACAATGTATCAACTGATAACACGCAATCTTTAGAGTGATAAACAAATCAAAGTCCAAATACATAGTGAAAGTATACTACGACGATGAATAATAAAGTGGGTCACTACAATACCCCCTCCATAGAATGCAGGTAAATGAAGTTTACCTGAATTCGGCATGATATTGTAAATTACAGTGACACAAAAAATATATAGGAGTTTCTGGTATGAAAACTGAATTGAGGATTTTAAGTTTTCTGAGATTTGATAATATAGCCGTACATTTTCGAAAATCCTTACAACTTTGAAACGACCCAAAATGTTTAGCAATTCGTGCAAAATGTAACAATAAAACCAGAAAAATTGTTAGAATAATAATGAGGTTGTTAATGCGAAGAGTTAGAGAATAGACTTA